CTAAAAACAACAGTTATAGTCCTCTCTTTGTTCTTCTTCTTCCGTCACATATCAGTGCTTGTTGGGTTTTTTTTTCTTTTCGAACTAAAATGAGTAAATGAGTAAAAATGAGTGATTGTTTTTCATTTTTGTTACTACATAAGTATTGATTCATGTATGTTGCGGTCTTTTGTCTGCTTTTGCCCACTAACGTTCAAATGTTTAGCTAAACTGAACATACCAACGAATTGAAAAACCATCAAACTACGCTAACAAACAACCGAAAGGAAAAAAACAATCAAATAAACTTCATCAATTGACTTAACTGACGTTAACAGCTATTTATTTAGATTTGATTTGTTATCTACCGCATTAATTAACAACACTAAATTTACTCAGTACTAAAAATGTAACAAAAAGATTGTTTAAGCTGAAGTAGAAGAAAAATGACATCTTAAATTCGATTTGAGATTATATTTGTAGAAGTGAAAAGAAAATAAAAAAAATTGACAAATGAAACTGTAAATAAAAAAACTGATAAAAAAAAGTTGAAAGAAGGAATTCAAAGCAGACAAGAAAACAATCAATTGCTTTATCACTTTTTCTTATATTTTTTTCTTCTTTTATTTGTATGACTTTTGTTGCTTTTCTTGTTTCGCTGCTAAATTAATTAAAGAAAAAAATAAGACTTCAAATAACCTTTAAAAGAGTGCTGATCAAAAAATTTTTTTATTTTGCTGTTAGTGGTGTTGGAATACAGTTTAAGTGAATAGAAGAGGAGAATGAAGCAAAGATAAATGGAGAAGGCTGAAAAGTGAGCTGACAACTTTAAAAATTTAACCTGAGTGGGAGAGCATTTTAGTAAATACAGTAGTATCTTTATTTTTAATCAGTGTAAATGAAGTGAATGGTACTCGAAGTGTCTGAAGAACTGAAATGTTGATTAAAAAAAACTTTTTATCAGATAAATTGACTTTTATTTTCTGCAGTTACTGTAAATGTTGATTAAAACTGCTATAAACGTTACTTTTTAAAATAAAATTACCCTCGTTTCACAAAATTTGTTTATCTGTTTACATAGACATAAAAGTCAACCAGGAGAAGTGAAAGTAAAGATTTTTCGTAAAAATTTAAAATTTTTGAAGCTTAATTTGATATTTATGAATAACCTGGAATAGAGCTTGTTAATTTTTTGGCTAAATAAACCAATAATTTTAAATAATGACAACGAAATAGCAAAATGAGGCCAAAATTACTGCTACTGTTCAGTTGTCATTATGCGATTAGATTGAGACCTATTTAAGCAGTTTCTGAACTTTTCTGAGAATTGTAGTATAACCACTTTATCAGATTGATAGTTGTTGTGTTGTATTACTCTACTTCTTTTTTTTTTT